ACAAATGAATTCAAAATATTGCCAGTACTTCATTTCAACTGTTGTAAGCAAAACCAAATAAATTAGTGTCAGTTTTTTTTCCCCTGTGGTAGAAGAAACAATGCTCTAAAAAAGGGAAAGGATAACTATAGATGAAAAGAGAAAGCAAGCCGTGATTGATTTTGAATGAAAGCTGCTGAAAATGTTGAAAGAATATTGTCCAAAACTCCATTGTCCATTGTTTAAATTGCCAGAAGGATGATAAACTTTTTTGTTGCAAGTTCAACTCGTGATTAAGTAACTTTATGGAGGTTAAACAGACTCTGGATGAAAAACAGCATCTAGGGGAATATGACATAAGAAATAAATTGCTAAATTAAAAACAAAGATTGGTTTACAATGGATGAATATTGATTCCCTGTATGTAAAAATGATTAAAATATATACAGTAAAAGAAGGTATTGGAAAAGGCGGTAGCTGGAATTAAAATTGGATCAAAACAGTAACAGTTTGAATATAGAGATGATGACACCTCTTTGTTAGTTAATATTTCTTTAAAGTACAAATTTCATTTTATGAAATTTCATTTTTTAATTTCATATCCTTCATTTATTTTTCACTGTACAGTAAAACTTAAATGTAACAGATTACTTCTGGGAATGGGTGTCCATTAAATGAAAATTTCCTTATACACAAATTTATGTCATTTGATTTTGTTTCTGTAATAATGTAATTTTTATGTCATTTGTGCAAGCTATGTAAGTTGGTGCAAATGATGTAAAATATAATTAACATTATTACATAAATGACATAATAGCTGTTGAAAGTCACCCAGGGTAGCTGTGTATAGTGAGATGGGTGGAATATAAGTTAAATAAGTAAATGCATAAATAAATGCATAAACGCATAAATCAATAGAAAATTTAAAATGCTATCAGTTACATTGATTATCCAGACTGGACAATGGATTTTGTGGTTTGGGGGAGGGGGGAAATCTTAGGTAAAATGTTGTCCATTGCATCTGAATGGAGGCCCAGGAGATAAAGATACTGTTGTCCCTTATTCCTTTTCTGCACTTGATATAACATTGCTTGCCCCCAATGAGAACAGCATTCAGGGTATATATTATTAGTCTTATTATTCTTCAATTGTTATTATTCTTCATGACCTGGAAAAGAACAATTACAATCATACAGATTACCTGTGTAGCTGAAATAGATCTTTGTACATATGCAATGAAAAATATTAGTCAAATTTGGGCTGAGAAGTATAGTACCTACTTGCTCTATCTCAAATTAATATTTCTGTTATCTGCTTAAGGCATCTTAAGAAACTTCTGAAGAGTTCCCCACTATCTTTGTAATTGCCCAACCAATACTATACTAGCTCATGTTAATCATGCAAGCTGAAGCGTAGAGGTCCAAAGTTCTTGGGCATAATTTGCAGTTCCCCTTTTAAGTTGCTTTGATCATCATGTTTATCAGGGGTGGGTTCTACTTACCTTTACTACCGGTTCGCAACGGGGCCACGCGCATGAGCAGAAGCTTCCTGATGACATCAGGGTCAATGGGCGGAGCCTCCCACCGGTTTTACTACCGGTTCTATAGAACCGGTCCAAACCGGGGGCAACCCACCACTGATGCTTATGCAGATAGAATGGAAAATACCTGACTTTACACATTCTTTTGGCTAAAGTAGAATGTCCATAAATAGAAATTCTGAGAAACAATAAGTGTGAAGCGATTGCATTTTCTGTTCTTTTTCTCGCACGAAAACTTTCTTGGTTATCATAATCAAGAGTCAGTTAAGGGCCAGGCCCAAGGCTTCCAGTGGCATTTCATTGCCTGACAATGGTCGTATTATTCCAACAAGCCATTTGGTCAAAGCAGCTGGCTTTTGCATGACTGGGCTGGTGCCATGATGCTCTGTTTTTTTTTTTTTAATTACATTTTTATTCTGACTTTTCATTGAAAAGATACAGATACTCCTTTTCTTAATAGGTATTTCTTTGAGTGGGAGGAGGGGGGATTCTATGTACAGTAATTCTTTATGGGGTTTGCTGATGGAGTCTTTAATTGTGAAGTTTGTGGTTAGCTGTTTTTATGACTTATTGTTATCTGGTTTTGTGAAATAAAACACTTGGCATCTTTTTGGAAATTGCTTTAAGGAAATTTCCAAAACAAAAGCCACTTGTAAATTAAAAGAATTCTACTATTCTGTAGTTTCTCGTACAGTATTATAATGTACCAATTATGGTAATGAATTCATAAAAAATTTCCACTAAGGAATGCATTCCACTACCTCAATAATCATTGGAGTCTTACTGCATAAATAAGAATCATTTGGGTAGATCATGTCCCAGCTTGTATTTCTATTGTATTTCTGTTGGTCAAAAGAGAATGAACCTAGAAAATTGGAGGTTCTGTTTGCAATGTATCATAACATAATAGACTGCACAGAGTTTTGGAATTCTGATCAACCAGTCTTGCTAGCACTTTAAAGTATCTGACCAGCTTTAGCTATAATCTGCCAGAGCTTAAGTGTACCAGACAATCACATAGGAGAAAACCCTCAATCATCTGGTTATCCAGACTAACTTAACCTAATCTAAACATTGTATCTCTATCTCTTATTTTTTATGTCCACTTAAAAAAAATTAGAACATACCTTTGGGAGGCATCAAGAAAGCATACAAGAATTCTATTAGCTGGAGGAACTGTGTTTTAAATGACAAAACTGAAGAGAAAAGATACATTCCCTCTGTTTTGAAGGAGGCGGTAGTCCAGCTGCTCTTTAAGAAGCCATTTTTGGATCCAACAATCCTGGATAATTTTTATTGAGATTCAAACCTTCCTTATTTGGGTAAAGTTGTTCAGAGGATGATAGGTTAACATTTTCAAAGGTCCCTAGAGGAAGTGAGAGAAGTCTAGCCCTAGAGCCCTTAAATGTACAATATCCCAGAGTTCAACTCTCTCCTACTTAACATCTACATGAAGCTGTTGGGTGAGATCATTAACTGGCACAGGATGAGGTATCATCTTTGGCCTGGGCTGTATATGTATGCCATCAAAGTTCTTTTCTGGTACCTGGGGCTGGTGAAGATCTGGACAATGAAGAATGAACTACATCTCAATTCTAGCAAGATTGAATCATTGTGGAATTTGGGACTTCCTGAAATTGAAGATATTCCATTCATCATTAAATACATTTCTGCTCCACTAAACAGTTGATATATGATCTGGGCTCCTGGATTGGATCGGGTTTCTGGATTGAGAGGCCCTGTTTATAGTCCCTAATGCATTAGTCACTTCCTGAATGGATTACTGTATTGCAATAGGTTCTACATGATGCAGCCTTGGAAAACATTGGAGGGCTTTAGCAGGTCCAGATTATAGCTGCACATGTAACTTGGATGCACCAAGGTGTGCCCATATGATGCTAGAGCTGCATCATATGGGCACACCTGCACTGAGCTGCACTGGCTCCCAATATTTCCAGGTGTAATTCAAGGAACTGGCTGTCATCTTTAGAGCCCTGCATTGTGTACTTGTGGAACCATCTGTCTTCAGTGGTTTCTGAGTGTGTGAGCTCCAAGTCTCTTCTGTAAAACAATGTCATTTGGTGGGACCCAAGAGATGAGCCTTGTTTGTTGTAGTGCCCTAAGCTATAAGACAGACTTTCTCCTAAGATCCAGATGGCCCAAACACTCTTAGCTCTCTGGAAGGCCATGAATACCTGGTTTTCCCCAGGTGTTAGGGCCAGGTTGGCAGAGTTTGATATGTGTGTTTTGATGTATAAGTTAGTTCATGAGACACCATGGTTATTGTGCCTTGGTTATCATTGAACTACAGTAGTTTGGTCTTGTTTTATATTCATTTTACTGTAGGGTTTCTCATGTGTATTGTTTTTTTTAGTTGTCAAGAGTTATTTGTTTAAGATAGGTGGTCATCTAAACTGCAGTGAGATAAAATGAGATTAGATGGGAGAGGAGGGGATGAATCAAGTAATTACTAGGAACTAAGCTTTGTATCTAAAAATACCACTATCATCAAAGCAAAATAAAATGCTGGATACATCTTACCATTCATAAGGTAATCCTATCCTTACTCATACAAGAGTGCCCAATATAGTTCACTGAAATACACAAGATTCAAAAATCCATTCTCAGTATATACAGGAAGTATGTTGTGGCAACGAACAAGGCCTTCCTCCTTCTTTCAGCTTAGTCAATTATCTGCAACATCACATAAGAATGTTTTGAACCAAAAGGTGTCTGGGAGGCATAACTTGATTATGGATTCACTCATAAGATTGTGGTTAGTACTACCATCCACTAGCAGGATGTGACATTTGTTCAGGATGCATACTTTACATTAGTATTTATAAACATCATATATACGAAAATAGCCATTTCAATCTGTTGCCCTCTGGGTGGTGCATCATCTCCAGCTAGAAAGCTGAGAAATGCTGTATTAGAGGAATTCCTACATAATCTATAATTGGATTTTCCTACATGTAAGGCATCGATCATAAGTTAATAAAGTAGATTTCCCCTTTGGGATACCAGGATTCAACCTTCCAACTCTGGTGATTAGGCTGAATCCTAGAAGAAATTGAATAAAGATCTCCACTATCTCTGTTTATTACAGTGTTTATTTTAACCAGCAGTCCACGCTGTATGGAAGGAAAGAGGATGGAGATAATCTAACTTCTCTCTTAATCCATACAGAGAATTTTAATTTGCCAAAGGGACACCAGTTAGGCATGTGCAAACAGCTTGACTGGTAAGATTGAAATAAGATTCTTTTCTAATGCTGTAAACTTTAAATCAATCAAAGAAGGAAATGTAGGGGGAAATTCTTCCATGCTGGTTGATTAGGTTTATATTTCATGGAAGTCTTATTTCTTCCTATGGTTTTTTTTCTTTAAAAGACTTCCTTGTTTTTCATAGAAAGGGTTTCTAATGTTTTCAGGCCACAATACTCTACAATAAGTTCTATTTTCTTCTTTCTGGTTTATAGATAAAAGAACTCTATGGCAAAGAAGATTTGCTGACTCAACCTGATCAGAGAACTTTCTGGAATAGTGATGACTCTGGTAAGTATAGAAAAGTTCTTGCCTTTGATAAGAAAGCAAAAACATAAGCTTCAGAACACTATCTCCTTCCTATAGTCCAGAAATGTATAGCTGTATAGACTATTATTCCCCACCCCTAGCAAAGTTCAAAGACAAACCTAGGAATGATGGATTTTTGGTTTTAAGGTTTTATTGTGGGCTTATATCTAAACACAGCACATGATTGATTCCTCCCCTTTGCCACAACCACAACTTTGTGAGTCATACTATGCTACGAGAGAGTGACTGACTCAAAGTTAGCCAGAGAACTGCCATGACTGAGGAGAGAGTTTAGTCTGGAGTTCTCAAACTCTATACTAACATCTTAACCACTGATTGACAGGGTTCCTCTGCCTGAGAAAGAACAGAAGAAGGGTCATATTGGAATGAATAGAGATTTAACTTATCAGACGTCTACTCTTCGTGCTGTCCTAAGTTTCTTCTTCCCCAGTGATGGGTGGCAGTGTATAACCAGTATCTAGTATTAGTTTATTTGTCTAACCTCTCTTCATATTCAATGAGTTGGTGATCAACTCATCACATGTTGCTTGTACATGATAAATTCTGATTTTAGAGATTATCTTTCTTTTTTTTTAATTTCTTTTTTTAAAGTTTATTTATTATAACACAGTAATATAATACAAGACATACAACATTTATATACAAGACTCTTTTTACAGCTTTTTCATAGTGTCCTTCCTTATTATTTACTATTTCTATGAATTTTGCTTCATCTTATTCCATATTACTATCTGTCCCAGGGATGAAATGCTCCCAGTTCGGACCAGATCGCCCAATCCGGTAGTGATGGTGGCGGGTGGTTCGGAGAACTGGTAGCAAAAATCCCTGCGCCCCCACCCCCCCTACCATGCCCATCTGAGCCTTGTGATCATCAGAGGCTTTTTTTTTTACTTTTAAAAGCATTTTTTCTATAACCTCTTCCGACGAAAAAATGCTTTTAAAAGTAAAAAAAAAAAAAGCCTCTGCTGATCACAAGGCTCAGATGGGATCATCAGAGGCTTTTCAAAGCATTTTTTTTCTGCAACCTTTTGGCCGAAGAGGTGGTAAAAAAAATGCTTTGAAAAGTCTCTGACGATCCCAGCTGAGTTGCCTGATCGGCAGAGGCTTTTCAAAGCATTAGAAAAAATGCTTTGAAAAGTTTTTTTAAAAAAAGTTGACCATGCCCACCCAGTCACATTACTCCCCCCCCACCAAGCCACGCCCACAGAACCGGTAGTAACAAATTTTACATTTCACCCGTGATCTGTCCCCATCATTTCATTTACAATGTATTTCTCTTTTTCATTTCAATCACTAAATTGTATTTTACCAATTTTTCCCATTGTTTTTGACATTTCTTTAACTCCCTCTTATTTTTCTTCTTCATTTTTCCTTTCCTCCAACCACTCATACTTTCTATACCAAATTTTATAGTATTCTGTATCCTCTTTTTCTTTGAGTTCTTTTTTCAATTTATCCATCTCTGCACATTCCAATTTTTTTTTTTATCAACTCCTCCTCTGTTGGTGTATTTTCTTTTTTCCAATTTTGGGCATAAGCTATGCAGGCAGTTGTTAATATATGTAATATTAAATATTTTATTTCCTTTGTATAATTTTGTGTAAAGATCCCTTGGAGATTATCTTTCATTCCAGTTCCTATCCTCAACAGTTGGCCTCACTTGCTGACCAGGCCTTCGGCTTTGAACCTAAGAAGTGATGGGGCTGCTTCATATAGTAGAACCTCTGGTCATGAACGCTTCTGACCACGACCAAATCGGGCTCTGACCAAAAAATTCACAAATTGTTTTTTTTTTCCCCCATGGCCAATTTCCCCTTATGGGCCATTTTTTTTTTTTTTTTGTAAGCACCAAATTTCCAAAATTAGGTTTGGGTCTTGATCAAATTGGGTTGCGACCAAAGTTATGGAATAAATTATGGTCGTGACCAGCGGTTCTACTGTACTTAGAAGGGAGATTTCCCAAGAATACCACGGTATGAGCTAGACGGAGATGTCTGTCATAAAAATACTCTGTTAAGAAGGAAGGGCAAAATATGTCTATGATTCAAGTTTAACATGACGGGGAACCTGACCTTTCATTCAAATGTAGCCCTGTTAAAACTTTTGCAACAGGATTAGGTGACAATGGCCCATTTCGTTTTTACACTGGACAAACAGGTTACCTATCTACACAAAAGTATAAATAGGCAAAATCTGACTATTTAGATTCAAAGGGTTGCCCAACTGGTGGGAGGAATTTTCAGTTCCTCAGGCTGCTTTGCCCATATAATTTCAAAATGATGATACTCGAGAATCCGAATGACAAAAGTTAAATTCCACAGAAATTGTGACTCAGAATTTCTTAGAATGCTTAATACCATTGATTAAACACAGATATCTCCCCCCACATCACACTGTATATGTTAACAGCTATTCAAAACAAGATTATCCATGTCATTCTTAAATGCCACTTAAAGTTTGCTCACTCCTCAAAGCAATTCTGTCTCTCACTTTTTCTGTCTTTATTCCCTGATTCTTTTATTCCTTTTCTTCATCTCCTCCAACAGTAAAACTCTCAAAGGTTTATACTGGATTGTGATCTCAGAAGTTTATGTAAAAGCAAATAGATTTGCCTTTAAAATGCTTGTCTCTTTTCTTTCCACTGGATTTTTATTTTATGTATTTTATATTGTTAAATATAAAGATACCTGGTGTATCTTGTGGGCAGAAAAGCAAAATGATACAGTATTTGTATAAAATGCAGCTTGAAGAATTATTATACACTTTGGCTTATGCAACTTGGATACAGAGAATTTTGGCAAACCTGATGGCAGAGGGAATCATATGTCTAATTGGCAAAAAATATCAAGTTCTTAGGAATGTTTGCAATAGTTTGTTTTGGGGAGATCTGAAAGCAAAAACAGCTGTGGAAAGAGATGGAGAAAACTAAAGAGAAATCTTCTTAGGCTAAAAAAACACAATAATACTAAAAATAAATTTAGGCAATCTGAGAAAAGGTTTATGCAATTGCCCATTTAGTTTATTGGGTGCTTCTAATTCCATTGTGTGCTTTTTTTTCTTTCAAAAGTGTAGCAATTGTCTCAAGGACTCTAGTGTTTGATGATAGGAGCTGAAAGGGATGGGTTCCTGTGATTTGTATCTAAATGAAAAAGCTAACCTTACATTCTTAAGGCTTTGTTCATAAGAAACCCTTAGGTATTTGATGCAGAGTTTTTTTTATTTGTCCCCAGGGAGACTGTCTTTCACAGGGCAGATAATTCCCTTTTAAAATGAATTAAATTACAGGCAGAACAGTACATGGATTTGAAGTGATCCATAGATCTAGGCTAGTAGGATTTCTTTTTTTTTTTAGTATGATGACTGATATTTCTACATGTTATTTAAAATAAAGTAAGGGTATCTGTATTTTTCACGTTATTAGTTTTAGCAGCTTGATAATTTGCACAGGAGGGTACTATAGTAATCAATTAATTCACACACATATATATATGAATTAATATATAGAAATACATATATATATATATATATGTGTGTATTTCTCTTTAGCCAGGTTCTTCCTACGTAAACCAAGATTTTTATGCAGCCCTAGTTCAGTGAACTTCCAATCCACTAGTTTCTAGGCTTTTTTTCTCCAGCAGCCAGCAAGCTCCCTGCTGCCCATTGGGAGACTAAAGAGACTAAGATAGATCTATTTCGGATTTATAAGCCCTCATCAGTTAGCCACACCTTCATCCCATGTATCCTCCCTGTAAAAGTACAGTATTTGTTTTTTCGTAGGCCTTTATGTGTATTTCTCTTTAGCCAGGTTCTTCCTATGTAAACCAAGATTTTTATGCAAGATTTTTATATATGTATATGTATATGTATATGTATATGTATATGTATATGTATATGTATATGTATATGCATATGCATATGCATATGTATATGTATATGTATATGTATATGTATATGTAGCTCAGGGTTCAACTGTACAATTTCTGGTGCTCTCTGATCTTGGTTGTTTGCTTGCAGATGATGTTACTCAGTTGGGTAATGAAACTTCTTCAAGCAAACAACCAAGTTCACAGAGCACCAAGAACTCCACTATTGATTAATTAATTGAAACTAAGTATGATGTCAATTGTCTAATCCCCTGATACATGAAAACATTATTTGTTTGTTTGTTGCTTATAAAATTTATTGGCCGCCCTTACCATAGGGTAATTTATAGTCTTATGAGAACAAGCAGTTTTGTGGCGCAATGTTAATGCTTAAATGCCGGACGCAAAACAGATACAGTAATTTGTAGTACTACTTTTTATCAAATGCAATGTTGATAACAAAGTTTTAGATTTGTTTTAGATTTCATTTTTGTTCTTGGAAAGCAGTTCTGTCCAGGTGAAAATGAGGATTTAGGGTAAAGTCTAGGGCTCAGAATCAACTTTCAATCAGTTTTATAGATATGGAAATTGATTGTCATGATCCATATAATTCTAATATCTTAAGAAAATGACCCCATCAGATATTTTAGCAATATTTGTGCATCTTACTCTATATATTTAAAATATGTAGATAGGCAAGCAAAAAAATCTTTGAATTGCATATCTGAATTCTTTTGATGTCATGTATAATTGAAGTAAGATATATCCACACAGTGCCTTGCTATCCTTGGTTGATCTCAAAAACCAGAGTCAGATCTGAATAGGACTTTGATGAGATATCACCAAGAAATCCTGGAGTTACAAGCCAGCTGGAAAATTTAAAAACAAAATCCCATAAAAACATTCCATATTGTTAACAAGAAGACAACTTAAACCTTTCCACGTAATCACCAAGGGTTATGCTCAACTTAAAAGAAACTCTACCATGACTGTATAAATCAGCAGATTACAGATTCAGCTTCTGTTTTTCTGGGCTCCAGAAGAACGTGCTTTCTTAAGACTACTTGCTAAAATGTTGATTACGATTCTTCCAACCCA